CACATTGAATGACTACACGTGTTATAGGGTATCGATTCACTTCGAAATCAGTGAAATATGCTTTGAACCATCATACATGACTGGTACACATTGACCAAGTGTAGGGTAGTTTTCAAATCCGGCCATGGGTTGATCAAATGTGTGGACCTTAACGTCAAAAAGTAGTTAAAACCTTCACCCGACCACTTTTATATGGTTATGAGCGCGAATGAAACGAAACGATCGCTGAATGAGCTGAAACGTCATCTGGATGTTCAACACGACCAGATGTCATTTTGGGTCAATGGGTATCGATTTAACTCCGGAAGTAGTAAAAGAGTATTCGGAACATCATGCATGATTCAATATCACTGGACGGATTGCATGCACCATGCTTTAGATACCATATTTGCTACTTACTTTTTCTTTTGTTGCTTAGCATATGGTAGTTTCTAAGCCTGGCCATGGACTGATCAAATGTGTGGAAAAGTAGTTAAAACCATCAACCGGACACTTTTACGTTGTTACAGGTGCGAATTAATCGAAATGAACGAGCATAAACGTTATCTGTACGTTTAAAACCACCAGTTGCCATTTTGGGTCATAGGATATCGATTTCACTTCGGAACTAGTAAAACAGTATTCGGAACATCATGCATGACTCACTATCATTTGACGGATTGCACGCGCCATGCTTTAGATACCATACTTGCTACTTATGTTTTTCTTTTGTTGCCAAGTGTAGGGTAGTTTCCAAGCCTGTCCATGGACTGATCAAATGTGTGGAAAAGTAGTTAAAACCATCAACCGGGCACTTTTACATTCTTATGAGCGCGAATGAACCGAAACGAATGCTAAACGAGCACAAACGTCATCTGCACGTTTAAAACGACCAGTTGCCATTTTGGGTCACGGGGTATCAATTTCACTTCGGAACTAGTAAAACAGTATTCGGAACATCATGCATGACTCACTATAATTGGACGGACTGCACTCGCCATGCTTTAGATACCATACTTGCTATTTACGTTTTTCTTTTGTTGCCAACTGTCGAGTAGTTTCCAAGCCCGGCAATGGACTGATCAAATGTGTGGAAAAATAGTTAAAACCATCAGTTGGGCACTTTTACGTTGTTACGAGCGCAAATGAACTGAAACGAACGCTGAATGAACATAAACGTCATCTGCACGTTTAAAATGACTAATTGTCGTTTTGGGTCACGGGGTATTGATTTCAACCATGGTCCTTCATCCATACACAACTAACTTGAATGAATGGATACACACACTAAATTAGAAAAAACGTCAGCCATACAATTCAAACGACTAGATGACGTTTTAGTCTGAACAAAGTACTGGTGTCATTGTTACCAAAAACTTGGATCAAAATAGCTATAAGAATTTAACTAAAACCATTACAATCTAAAACTGATGTTTAACAATTTTAAATATTCATACATCCATAACAAATGTGAAGGAACAGAAATGAACACGAAATGAGTACAAACGTCAGTCATACGTTTAAAATGAGCATCTGACGTTTTAATCTGAACAAACAATGCTGCTATCATAGTTAAATTCTATCAGACCGAAACATGTATCAGAATTTATCAAAATTATCACAATCTAGCAAAAACAATCATAATTGATCATCAGCATAACCCTTTTCCACAAGGGTTACACAAATTGAAACTTGGTTGTGCAAATAGAGAAACCAACTAATATTCCTATCACAATTAATCTTCATTGGTAGAACTGATAACTTTACCATGCCAGGTACAAGAAATTTCATCTCGATATCATACATGACAGAATCAACCTTAACCGCTTGTCTGACTTCCTCATACAACTCCATATATGAAATATTTTTTGACACAAATATTTGTTGCAGTGTCTTGATCATTCCCTATCCATTTTCAAATTCATCCACCTTGATCACTTTTTTCAAATTCAACAAAATAACAAATGACAATCATGACACCAGAGTCCATATCTGCAATTCACCAAAAAATCTGTAATATATTATTCTATTAATTATCAAAATCGAATATTATAAAATAGAGTTTCAATAATAAACAAAAGACAACAAATATTGTTACATAATAGGTTCAAATTAGATTAAAAAATAGCATTCTGTAGTTTCAAACGTGCATTTACCATTTAAATTTCTTTCAAATAATATAATGCTATAAAAGAATTCAGGAACGACTACTTTGCAAACAACTACATCAAAACCACCATTATCAAATTGCAGCAGAACTCAGTTACAGAAAAAGGGCACCCAACTACAGAAAACGGCACCATTCCGTTTTTATATTTCACAACAAATGTTGCTTACCCAATCGATTTTTCATAAAATACAACAAGAAAATAACAAGAAATCGTTAATTTTCAAATAATAAAGCATATCCTCGATTGTTTGAAATTGATTCTTGCTCACCCACTTCCAAAAATTGTTGTGTTTGATTTGTACTTGGTACAAATAAAG